TCTGTGGGTTGAAGTGAGTAGGGTACTTGCCTTGCATATGGCCAGCCCGGGTTCAATCCTTAGCATCCCATATGGTTCCTGAGCCCACCAGGAGTGATCCCTGTGCATAGTACCTGAGCACTAATGGGAGTGGCCCCCAAGCCAAAACAAAATAAGAGCAAAAACAAAATAAAAACCCAAAGCAAAAAGAAGCAATTAGCTGTTATATGCATATATACTATATACACATAGTTACTTAAGTCACCGAGTGTGTTATACGACCATCAATTTAGGATGTATAGGTGATCTAAATATGTAACATAAAGTAAGTAGAGCTCGGCACTTTCTCCCCAAAGAAGTAGGGAATGAAGGAGTAATTATTCACCATCTCCTTTTCGCTTTCCCGAAAACATCAATTACAGCCACACGTTTCAGAGGCAAGCCCACCAGTGGAACTGAAATAACTCCTTTCACTGTTACACTTCAAAAAAATAAAAAAGAAAAAGTCATCACAATTTTATAGCTGAGATGTGTTTCGTAGTTTAATTTAAAATATTAATTTTGATACAAGCCATCTTGCTTTGGAACAGCATCCTTACCACTCAGCACATTTCCTGTCCCTGGTGGCATGTGTTTTTATGGCTGGGAAGTCGCTTTTGAAAAATGTACTCTAAATGTTGTCTGCCCGCCACTCTGCCCCACCCCTGCGGACTCGCACTTGTTTCTCCTCTGCCCTCTGTTAACTAGAAAATGGTCTGATGGCAATTTCCAGAAGAGGCAGTGATTGCAGTAAATGTGGAAAATAATAAGTTTGGAGACCATAAGACCAGCCCCACAGTAATGGCCTTTGAAACATATTATCAAGTTGGAAATCAGTGAGGGAAAAAGAAAACCCTCCTTTCTCTTCCTGTTCAGTAAGATGACTTTTAAAGGTGCAATGCCCTCTAATTTCATCATCCTGGCAAGCTGGTTTCGGGGAAAATTTGATGTGTCGGCTTATGACTGCCCTTGCTTTTCCTGCCTGTGGACTGACTTTGCTAATTTGGAGTGAATTTGATCAGAAGGAATGTCTAAAATAATTTTGTTAACAAAGTCAGCTCAGATAGTCTTCAGAGAAAAACAAGCCAGAAATAGTTCAGATTGTCAATAGAATGATAGAATAGCAGGGAGGGCTCTTGCCTTGCATGCAGCTGACCCAGGTTCAATCCCCGGCACCTCATATGGTCCCCTGAGCCCTGCCAGGAGTGATCCCTGAGCACCGAGTCTGGAGTAAGCCCTGAGCACTGCCGAATGTGCTCTCCCCTCAAAAAGGAAAGCATTCACATTGTAAATCTTGTAGCCGGTGGTTAGAATGAGAAGACATTTTCATGTGACTTGAGCTGCCATCTAACATTGGATAAAGAGGTGTAATTGTTAGAGGAACAATTGAAGTGAGAGTCCCCCGGCTTCATGAAAGTGAAGTATAGGGGCCAGAGCAATAGTACGACAGAGAAGGAATTTGCCTTGCATGCAGCTGACCTGGATTAGATCCCTGACACTCCATGTGGTTCCCTGAGCACCAGCAGGAGTGACCTCTGAGTGCAGAGCCAGGGCTTGGCCTTGAAAACTACCAGGTGTGGCCCCCAATGCAGGTGAATAAAAAATTGTGCTGCTGCTACCAGCTGCATCCCTGGAAATTGCCACAAGCTCGAAAGCGACCCACATTTTGGTAAGCAAGATGCAGTCTATAGGACACATCATGAAGTATTACTCAGCCTCAAAAAAGGAGAGAGTCTACAGCAGATAACAACTTTGGCATGCTCTGCAAAGTGAGGTCAGTTACAGAAAGACAGCGTCCTATACTGTGCGCCCAGTTGATGTATTTGAAATGGTCCAAGTGGTGGAAAGAGAAGAGAGAGGGGATTCCCAAGGCCTGAGGCAGGGAGAAGGGTAGTTTCCAAGAAGCAGGGAGAGAAGGGGCACTAAGGTCTCACAGCAGAGTCAAAAGCCTCAACACTGCTGGGACCGTGTATCAACACAATTAAGAGGATCGATAGATACCATTCTTTGTTTTTTTCACCATAGAAAAAGAAATTATTTTTTCCAGTTCAGAGTCCCAAGAGCAAAGTCCGTTTTTGAGACACAGTGGAGTCAGAGGGTTGTGCACCCCCGTGTCAAAACTGGTGGTGAGGCAGCATCTCCAGATAACACCGTGCTGGTAGCAGGCAGGGGGAACAGGGGAGCAGAATAGTTTTGAAATAGATCTGGATGGAAATGGTACGTTATTTTTGGCAGCAGTGCTGAGGAATGCAGTGGGAAATTCTCTTCAAACAAAAGGTGCTGGCACAGCTGAATCTCCGCTGGGGGGCGGGGAGGGTGGGGGTGATGAACTCATGTATTAGCAGATCCCCGTTGCTAGAGGCAGGGAACCGAGATGGGATTGCAGAAAAAGAATCTTTGGAACTCGGTGCGAGTGATGGTGGCTCGATTGTGGTGTGGCATTCCACGGTGAACATGGTGGCGCTCAAGTTCCCCATGCCATTAGACGGAACAGGTCTCTGTACGTCAGGAAAACCGACCTTGTGCAAGTGTCACTTAGAAGGGTCTTGGGGTGATAGTTGGGGAAATCCTGGAGCTGGATGAGATCACAGGAATGTCCGTGGGACTCGGGCTGAGGCTAAGTATGGGGCCGCCTTAGAAACTGGCTTAGAAGCAGTCCCTGAGGCCACGAAGGAGGCACTGGGAAAGCAGTTCATGTGTCCCTATCATGAGTAAGGGACACGCTAGGGCGCCACTGACCAAGTAAGGGGCAGTTAGAACCGCTGGTGACCCTGATCACACACGACTCAAGGGAGACAAATCTCAGATGGAGCCTAACAGGATCTAGAAAGATGGCACAGCAGGGAGGGTGCTTGCCTTGCACACAGCTGACCTGGGTTCAATCTCCGATACCCCATAGGGTCCCCCGAGCACCATGAGGAATGAGCCCTGAGCAGAGACCCGTGTGGCCCCCAAACAAATAAATGGCGTGTAAGGGAGACAGGGAGCTGAGTAGAGGCTGGGAAGAGAAGGCAGCTGTCTTGGACGTCTCATATTCAAGAAGGGTTGACGAGCAGCAGTGGTGTGCCAAGAGGAATGTTTGGGTTTGCCTTTTGACATTGAGAAAGCCGGATGATTTGTGTTGTCGCGTCTTCTGTCCAGTTGCAGCCCAGTGATGCCATGTCCTCTCATCTGTGAGGTGATTCCTGGCTGTGACTGGCCCCCGGTGCCCACCGCACATCCTCTTCGGCCCCTCCCTGCACTCTGGGTTTCCTCAGAAGCAAAGTGAAAAGTGGATTTCTGGTCTGTCTGCCCTCCAGCATTGGAGTTTCTCAGGCTTAGTTCCACCTTTCTCCTTGTCCTTGAATGTCCTGAACGTCACAGTCCCTCCCTCTTCCCCCACCGGCCGTCTCTATCCTGAGCCTCATTGCCCACCATCATCACTGGAGCGTGAACAGGTGTCTCCACAGACAATCAGTGGGAGAACTGTTCAAGCATGAGCCTTCCTGCTGGAAGAAGCCCCAGGTCTGTCATCCTGCCTCGAGCACTGCCCCCCGACCGCACCTCTCTCTGGCCCTGCCCAACTGCTTCTACACACCTGGCCATTCAGATGCTCACCGGACTTCTCCAGACTCTGAAATTTGCACAGACTCGTCCACCAGAACCCAAGTGTCCCTTCCCTCCAGGAAAATTTCTGCCCATTGCTTAGTGCCCAGCTCTGATGTTTTCCTGCATGTTCTCCTTAACCTTTCTAGGTACTTAAGAGGGCATGGCCTCTTATCCTAGAATATTTCATGTGTTTGTCATGTTGAATTATGACTATTTGATGGTTTTGTTGTCTTTCCCCAGTCTCTGGGAGAGTGGATCTTAAATCAGCTTGCAGCACTCTCTCCCCATATTTAATTGATGCATGTGTGGAGGGGTGAGTGGCTATACAGATGGATGCATGCATGGACAGGTGGATACATGTATGTGTGGAAAGGATCAATAGACACATGGCTAGACACATAGATGATTGATGCATGCATGCATAGATGATGGAAGGACATAGATGGTGGATGGATGGACGGATGGATGGATAGATGATGGGAAGGACATTGGTGATGGGTGGATGGATGCCTTAGTGGATGAATAAATGGGTACATGGGTGACTAAAATAGAAATTACAGGTTCAGAATTTTGGCTTAAAGATTTTATTCTTTTTCCCCATTTTTGGTGGGATGCTGAGTGATTTGTGCTGTCGAGAAGCTGGGTGTCGAGAGGCTTTCATACATGCAAATGCTGCATCTATAAGGTTCAACTTCTTCATTAAGTCTCCTTGGGACACAAAGGGCAAGTTTCTATTCTATCCCACTAGGCATTTTTTTTTGATATGTCACATATATGCTTAGATACAGATATAAAGTACATTGGAGTAACCTGGGCCTCCTGCCCACAGACCCGATATTCAGCCTTTTTAAGTCATCTTGTCATACCTACATCTGATTTTTTTGTTTTGTTTTATTTGGGGGCCACAGTTGGAGATGCTCGGGAGTTACTCCTGGCTTTGCACCTCAGGGATGATTCCTGGCAGTGCTCAAGGGACCATACTGGGGTGTGACTTGTTCTGCAGAAATGCCTGACTGGGGGCTAGAGCAATAGTACAGCGGGGAGGGCTCTTGCTTTGCTTGTGGTTTACCAGGTTTGATCCCTACTATCCCATATGGTCCACCCCAAGCCCTGCCAGGAGAGATCCCTGAGCACAGAACCAGGAGTAAGTCCTGAGCACTGCTGTGGGTGTGACTCAGAACAGTAAATAAATGTCAGCCGATCCTCTCCTTCCTGCCCTCCTGCTATCGCCCCGGGCATCTCCTCCTGTGGTGGGGGTGAGTGTTGTGGGTCGGGCTTCAGGGGCTGGCTTCAGGGGCTGCATCCCGGGAGCCCAGTCTTGTCCTTAGAAGCACCGCTGTGAGTCGTGTGTCCAGCTCGTGCATTCATTCTCTTCTTTTTTTTCTGTTTTCCAGTGTCTGTCTCGGGACCCCGGCGGCAGCATGAACATTCAGTTCCTGGGCACGGTGGTGAGTAGGAGATGCGCCTGTCCCCTCAGGCTTCCCCGGGGCCTGATGTGGCTGTCGAATGTTGTGTATCAAGCAGGCAATTGGGGGCGGAAAGGAATTCTCAAGAGGCAGTGATTTTTGCTCCTTCTCTCTCTGTTGTCCTTTAGTTTTTGTATTTCTTGCATGTGTGTGTGTGTGCATGCGTGTGTGTGTGTGTGTGTGTGTGTGTGTGTGTGTATGCGCTCATGTCCGGGGTGGATGCATGTGGCTCCTAGTTCAGTGCTCTGGGCTCTCCAAGGGATGCTGTTGGACTGTGGGTGCTGGGGCTGAGACCAGGCCTCTATGTGCCAAGCCTGTGCCCCGGCTCACCAGCTTTCTCCCCAGCCCGCACCTCCTACTCCTCCCAAAGAAAATCACCTTGAAAATTATTTGCAGTTTGTTGAGTATTTTGAATATTTTCTTTTGGAACTGAAAAGTTTCTCTGTTTTCATAATAAGATCGTCCGATAACACTTTTAAAAATGATGCCATTTATTTATTTATCCACGTTTTCTTTCTTGCTTTCTCCATCAGAGAAATACCGGGTTCATATTTTTAATAACATTTAACCACAAGTTTAACCTTTATTATTTTTCCATGTGTGAATCGTGTTCCATTCTATATGAATTATTTTATTTGGGTGGGGGAGTGAGCCAAACCTACAGTGCTCAGTGCTTACTTTTGGCTCTGTGTTCAGGGGTCACTCTGGCAGGGCTCGGGGACTGTGTCGGATGCTGAGGATTGACCTGGGTCAGCTGTGTGCCAGGCTCACTAAGCTCTGACCCCATGAAGTATTTTCATCTATTAATAGTCCTCCATAATGCCATAGAACAGTTATAGGCATCATTTAAATTGTCTATTGTTTATTTTTCTTTATATTTCCGGGGTGCTGGGATGGAAATTCAGGGACTACTCCTGTGATACTCAGCTTGCCAGTGTCACCTCATGGTTCAGTGTTTGGGCCAGGTGGTTCAAAGCATCATTATCAATAAACAGAGCATTCTAATGACGCTTTTTCACACGAATCTCAACCGTTAGGTATTTAGGTGACCCCCAAATCTTGCTGTTCTAGTGAACAACCTTTTGCTTTGCTTTGCTCTTTACTTTTTCTTTTTCAAAATTTTCTTTCTTTAATCACTTAATCACTTAACTTCCCGTTAGTCGTCGATTTGCTCGAGCGGGCGCCAGTAACGTCTCCATTTGTCCCTGTCGCGTGGTAGTGTAGCCCAATGGCATCTGTTCGCTCTGGGAACATGAAGAGCCTCAAACCGATCGTTCGTGATCTTGATGAAGAAGTCTGACCATCAGATTTTTTTTTCTTTCTTTCTTTTTGATTTTTTATATATTAAACACACATAAAATATTGTTTAATATGTAAGATCGGGGCCGGAGGGGTCAGCCAGACACACACTCTGCATGCAGGAGGATCAACCCCAGCACGGTCGGGGTTACCCTGCGCACGTGGGGGCAGATCTGTGTTTCATCATAGCAAAACCTCGAGCCACGAGTCACTGTGGTGGTGAGTGGATACATGCACTGGAAGCTGCCCCTGGCTCCTCAGACCCTGCTTGCTCACTGCCGGACAAAAGGCCACTTTGAGCTCTGGCTTGAAGCAGTGACCATTTTCAAACAGATTTTGCGAGTTTGTTTTTTTTTTGGGGGGGGGTTATACCAGGCATTGCACAGGGGTGACTCCTGGCTCATGCACTCAGCAGTTACTCTTAGTGGTGCTCAGGGGACCATATGGGATGCTGGGAATCGAACCTGGGTCGGCCACGTGCAAGGCAAATGCCCTACCTGCTGTGCTATCGCTTCAGCCCCAGATTTTTGCTTTTTTTTTTTTGAGGGGTCACACCCAGCGGTGCTTAGGGGTTACTCCTGGCTCTGCACTCAGGAATCACTCCTGGCGGTGCTTAGTGGACCTTATGGGATGCCGGGGATTGAACTTGGGTCCGCTGTGTGGAGGGCCAATGCCCTACCCGTTGTCCTATCGCTTCGGCTCCTTGGATGTTCCTGTGGAGTGACAGAGCTTCCCTTGGAGTCACTTTACATAGAGCTTTATGAACTTGACTGCGTGTTAAGTTTGTCACTTAGAGCAGGACTGTGTTAGCTTCCTGGGAGGCCACAGGTCACCCCGGGGTGGGTGACCTCAGACACACTCATGGGTGCAGGAGAGCAGAAATCTGCTGGGTGGCTGTGGGCAGGCTGCTTTCTCCTGGCGATGCCTGGAGAAGCCCAGGCAGGCTCCTCGCCCTGTGTCCAGCGGTGGCCGCATGGCACAGGCCTTGCTTCCTGTGTAGCTGCCCCCCCCCCCCCGCCCCGTCCCCTCCCCTGCTTTCCTCCTCTGCCCACGTGGGTTCCTTCACGCAGACCCCAGCACGCATGGTGCTGTCCAACCATAGGAGTCAGTCGTACCAGGTCTGTCTGCAAAGATCCTATTTCCAAATCATTTTGGAAGGGGACGTGGATTTGGGGGCAATCCTGGTGCATCCGGGACATGCTGGAGTGTCTCAAAAGCATCGCAGGCATGTGTGGTGGGCCGGGAAATGAATCTCCCCACAGCTACGCTTCAGCAAACAGCCGCTTCTTCCTGGACTCCGGCTTATTGGTGCCTGGCTTGAGTCCGGCCGTTTCCCCTGGGAATTCCCCCATTGTCATCCCCCATATGGCAGTTGTCAGGCCAGTCTCCACCTGCTCAGCCCTGGGGACACTCCTTCCAGCAAAGACAAGAGTGAGCCCCGGGGCGGGAGGGCTGTTCTGGCTAAAACCTACTGCAAAGCCTGGTCCCTCTCAGCCTCGCCACCCTCCGAGTACTCGATAAAGGATGAATTGTCTTTATTTTTTTTTTTTTTGTTTTGGGGCCACACCTGGTGATGCTCAGACTCCTGACTGTGCACTCAGAAATTGCTCCTGGCAGTGCTCTGGGGACCCTACAGGGTGTCAGGGATTGAGCCTGGGTCAGCCACATGCAAGGCGGATGCCCTCCCATGCCCTCCTGATGCCTTCCCCATGACCTCTCCATCTCCTCCCCATGTCCTCTCGCTCCAACCCTTTGACGTGCCTCTGGTGCAATCACTGTGAAGCCCAATTCTCATCGGTCATCTCTGAGCGCTGTGGCAGAGCAACACGGGCTTGGCAGTGTAGCAGGACAGTGGTTTCTCGTGGTGCTGCTAGCCCAGAAGCCCAGGGTCCAGGCGCCCCTATCCCGCGTTTGCGGGCGGCTCCCTCATGCAGAGGAGCTGGGCTTCTGGGGTCTCTGGCTCCCTCTCCCTCAGAGTCTCACCACAAGCCCATTACCTCCCCAGCGGAACCTGTAGGTGCTTCCCCTGGGGTTTGGCCTGAACAGAAGATGGAGCGGGGACTCTGGCCTCAAGCCTGGATACTCGGTTTCCCATGTCCCAGCGTGGCCTGTCTGCGCCCATTTCACAGTGGAAATTGTCTGAGTTTTGTTGGTTTGCATCTTTCTGGTGAGCCTCTGTATTTGTGCAAGTCACAGACTAGACACGGGAGCGCAGTGTTTTACCCAAATAGTATCCCTTATTTGAACTAAACTTCACTCAGGGATGTGTATTTTGTTAATGCTTTACGAATGCAGCAATTACCACTGTTTCAATTTCTGTATGAGGACCGTCATTTGTTTTTCTTCTCTGTCTCTCTCTCTCTCTCTCTCTGTGTGTGTGTGTGTGTGTGTGCTTGTGCCACCCAGCTGTGCTCAGGGATCACCACTGGCAGGCTCAGGGACCATATATGATGCCAGGGATGAACCCCAGTTGGCCATATACAGGGCAAACACCTTACCTGCTATACTATCTCTCCAGACCCTTTATGTTTTTTTAGCTTTTGTTTGTTTGGGGGTTACACCCAGCCGTGCTTAGGGCTTCCGCCTGACTGTGCATTCAGGGGTCATTCCTGGAAGGCTCAGGGGACCGTATGGGGTGCCCGGGATTGAACCAGGTCAGCTGTGTGCAAGGCAAGTGCTGTACTACTGCTTACTGGTGTTTTTTAAGTAAGGCTGACATGTTTCGGTAGGATGGTTAATTTTCTTCCTCGGAGAAACAATGCATATTGTCAAGAAGAAGGAGAAGAAAAAAAAAAGTTTAGTCTCCGTTGAACAGTTTCTTCATAACGATTGGCTTTTACCCAAGGCCGAGCGAGGAACTATCAAATTATATGTCTTTGAAGCTTAGCCAGGGCTCTTAATGAAACCGAAGCATCCTGAAGTTCATCAGCTAATTTAAATCTCAAATTATACATTTTAAATTAAGTTTTTTATTGACAATAAATATACTTTATTTCTTATTAGCCCCGAAAGCCCAAGTGATGCGACCAGTAGAATAAACATGTTTTACCAAGATTTACCATTAAGAACGCTATTAATAAGGCCCTCGCGGCACCGGCACAATTAGATTTCAAAGGCTACATTTACGACGTAACAGCGATTAATGACAACCATCGAAAACAATTTTGAACTCCATCAGTTTAACTCAGGAGGGCAAACTTAATATGATAATTCATCGGGTGGAATTGTATCAGCTTAGCGGGAACGTATGGAAATCGGTAACCCTCACCTCGCGTCCAAAGCGGATGCTGTGCGGATAGATTTATCAGTTCTATTAAAGAACTTTGGGGAACTTTGGAGTTTCAGCAATTGTTCCCTTGGAGGCTGAAAACCCAACCTTGATCTCATACTGGGACCATTCTGGTCTGCATGTTTCCATAATTTGCCTTTGCGCCTAATATGACAGCAAGACACAAATAACTGTTTCTAATAATATCAGATGGAGTTGTGGAGGACAGCATTTTAATGCCGGAAAAGACCTCCCTGTGGGGCTGTTACTGCCGCCGCCGGGCCGCCGCCGCACGCTGGCAACTGGAGGCTCTTAATTGATTCGTTTAATTAGCAGGAGCTGAGGCTGGGGCTGCATCTTGTCATCTGCCATCGCAGGACCCCAGATTGGCATCATTCATATTCATAGGTCCAGA